CTACCATCAGCTAACTTAAAAACTCATCTAGCTGTTATACCCTTTCGGTTCAAAGCTGCTAGGCCATCCGAAAGAGGCCCAACGGCTTCCAGGAGCAATCGAGATGCCAAGGTTGGGTTCTAACCCAAATTCCCGTCAAGAAGTTTGCATCTTAATTGCTGGAAGGTACTTCAGAAACTGGTAATGAACAAATAACATAGGACGAGCAGTCGGAGGGAAACATTCCAGCATCAAACAGGCAGAGATCAATACGTCTACAGCCTGCGTCAAACGAAACATTCATAGGCAGTCGACCAACAGGTAAGGATTAGATGAGATCGCTAGAAAGGATCCAGCTACCTCTAGTATCCCAAAGTCGCATGGATGATCCAGTGAACTTTTATGAGAGACTCGAGAAGCCTGATAAGCAATCGCTAGTCCTTAATGATGAAAATCAGTCGGATCTGACGTCAACTTTCATGGGCTGAGTGCTTCGTAGAGTTTGGTCTTAAAATCCGACAGGCCAACACCAACGAGCGATACAGACGAAACTGATGCGAGCCCGATAAGAAGAATCCGAGCTCGAAAGCTAACCAGAGATTTCATAACTGTGCGGTAAAATAGTCAAAGCTTTAGTCACTCTAGCACACGTGGTAAAACACTGTACTGAAAGACGTGAGGTGTAAGTTTTTGAAAAGTTAACTTGAAAATAATTAACATTTAGTGAGCGAGTCATAAGGTAAGCCTTTTAAACTATGTTTTACCTACCGTGCGAACCCCTTGCTCCAGAAAATTCCGAATTGTTTCGGTTGCTCTTCGAAGTTTGACAGCTGCTCGATTCTCATAATCCTCCACGCTGACTAGTACGTGCAACTCTTCGTCTAAGTGTTCCCAGTTTGGTTTGCCGCGATTCATGTCTTCCTGTAGAAGAGCAAATCATGAAAAAACTTGGAAACAGATAGCATAATACGGTTCAGTTAACTGTTTTGGCATTTCCGACCGACTGAATTGAATATCCTGTTTTCCAATTGGAAAAATCTTGGGAAACGATATTGTTGGGTCTTTTAGTGGTATTAAATTCTTCTTTAGTTAGGAATAACAATGTATACTAGGTCCATAGAGTACGAATAGTCATCTAGACGTAAACAGAATCAAGCACTATTCCATCCGCCCACTAAGGATACTTCGAAAAAAGGATACTGTCTCCAGGTAACAGTGCAGCTTAGAGATAAGTGAATTCCGAACAAAATCTCTCCGACAAGTTGTCACGCTTCTCGAGTACCCATTAGGCTTTTTATGATTTTAAACATGTCTAACTGAGATTTTCTCATTGAGTGGTACTGACCACCGCTAACCATTGTATAGAGGCTCAGTGCAGTCACTTCGTACAGGAACCAGCAGATGGCAATAGCTGTTAAACAGGAAGCGCAGAATTCAAGATGACTCCGATCATATCTCTCATCAGTGTATCTCCGTCACACGGCGTAAACTGGAACAAAGTTTTCGGCATATAATATATCGGACAGAGAATAGTGGGTGAGTCCACTTGAGCATAGCAACAGAGGTCAAAACCCAACTGGGCAAGCTACATTAAATGTGGTATCATTATTTCCTCCTCCAAAACCATATACTGTTGTATTTTTACCGCTACAGACATCATATAAATTAACTAGGTAGTTTGCTCACCTGCTACTGTTCTGTTAGTTTCTGTCCATACAGCCTGAGTGGGCGCTTGTGTGTACGAATTTCAAAATGACTGTTATTGGACCGTGCCATTGTGTGCTTTTTGCGTCCTTATGACACTTTTATGCGTGGTACATGGCGCTGAATGTAAATTTTTGCCATTCAGTCCCACACCAGACCCAGTATGATGGACGCTTCGTGCCTGACGTGCGAGTCTTGACTGTGCTAGCGCTTACCGTGGTTTGAAGAGCATTCAACATTCCAGAAATACACTAATTTGCAAATCAACTTGGTTTACGTGAGAATCAATTGAATCTGTCGTTTATTATGTCCTCCAGCTGAATGTGTTGCACACAGGCCGCCTCATGATTCAGTTGGCACGATATTCGAGATATCGCTGTATATTTTCATAAAGGAAACTACTCAACATTGTTTGTCCTTTCTTCGGTTGTCGGTCTTTAGACGCCTGTTTCCACATCAAAATTTTTCCATACGTTGGGATTTATCTCATCTGACTGGAACTGCTGGCGGCATGAGTTTTATCTCTTATTTCATATTCTCCTGTTACCCTTTCGCATTCGTCGCTTGCATTCATTTTTTATGTTCGTGACCAAGCTCTTCAAAAATAAATGACAATTAGTAGCCTGGTGTTAGGTCCCTCTCTTCATATTCTCAATTTTTCGTCCCCGGATCTCTAAAATCGGCTTTACTCGGTTGTAACGTAGTGAAGAATTAGTGTCATCACTGAAGATGCTGTCTATAACAATGGTGCTACTGTGCACAAAGTGTTTGTTAACTCAATTGATCAAAGCTTTAAGCAGATAGGATTTAGTAACCCAATGAACTCCTGGATACCTAAACTAATAATCACTGGATTACATAGGTGAACCAGTAAGAATGTATCCAACCAGAGTCACATCACTTTTTAAAATGTGCCACAAGCGCCATGGATCTGAAAGAAGTCTAGTGCCTGAGCCAGAATCCATTAGAGGCAGCTTGGTTTTAGATTTATTTCCAAGCCAATGTTTGCAAGTTCCACCATCAGAACTAAAACCATTTTTAAGTGGACACTTGCCACGAATACTAAACAGTGGCATAAATAGAATTTTGGACCGAAGTGCTGGGGGATGGGTTATGGTGGCCGCATAATCCAAAAAACATAATTCTGCTTTCAGATCAGACAGGTAATTAATCCTTAGCCAGAAACGCAAGTCATCGATCAAATTCAGCAAACCACGGTGGGTCATTTTCATTGATGGTAAGTTTCCTGTTTTCCAAAGGGTAACCATAACGAAATAAATAGATGCCGCCTATTATGATAGGGCTACAGTTAGTTAGAGCATGAATGGACACCGCATACAAGAAGCGCTCATTATTTTTTCATGAATGATATCTTATTGAGATGGAAAGTCGGATTTTTGGCGTGTGTGTGAGTAGAGTGATGGGACAATAATTCGCAAACTGGGTTTTACACTAAAACCAGCGCAATTCGCTTCCAAAGCTACAGTATCACCCGAAGTTTGCAGCCGATAGCATTTAGATACATGTGATGCCGTGAGATGAGTCGCTATTGTTGGATCTTGTATTTGAGTTTTAGAAACCAAATCGGTGTTAATGGATAAAGTAGCTAGAATTCACGCGCCGACAGCCTGTTAACCGACCTGTCCAAGATTTCGCATGATAAAGGTGCCAACAGAAGCACGCAGGAAGAGCGGACATGTGGCAGTAGTTGTGAGAAATNCACGCAGGAAGAGCTGACATGTGGCAGTAGTTGTGAGAAATGACATGCGATTTGAAGTCCGTTGACGGATCTATAGCTTCCGTCCACAAAAGAATGACCAACAAGTGGAATAGTGTGGCATTTGAGAGAAAACAATGAACAAAGATAGGGGATTTCAGCAACCGCACATTTTCGCTTATCCACCGTGCTTTGAGCAGCGAACAAGGCGACCCAGTTGATGTCAGCACATGACGACCGGTGTGGCATAATGGTGTTTTTATTTGCGTATTTCGTGGTTCCATGTGGACTGAGGTTAGTCAGGGCGCCCAAACCACCACAATCATCATAACCATAGTTATAATCATAATTTAAGGCTTCAGAATGAAGCAAACAGAAAACAGTGAGTGAATGAACCAAGCGAATAACGAATACTAATACTGAGGATTGTCTGTACATATGGCGTTGCTCCAACACCTGACAGTGTGAAGATGTGGTCAATGAAGCCTCTGATCGATGTCCCATTTTATGCTTACGAGTCACTATTTCACGCACCGCCTTAGGACGACGAACGATCAGTGGGCCAAGAAGTCCTGTTGCAGTTGGCGGCTGCTATATCAGACCAGTTGTAGGTGAAGGCCTCTCTCCAAAATAGACGCAAATAGACTAGACAAGCATTGACTGAGGAATTCACTGATGTCTTTGGATAGAGCAGATGGAAGGTCACCGGGACGAGGAGCATGGTGGCATACCAGTAAGGCTACACGCTCGGCTGAAAGAGGTCACATACTCACAGAAATGCATTCATCCTCAAAGCCAACAGGTCCTAATGAAAGCCAAAACCTGAATAATGGTCTGCTTCAAATCGCCCACTAAGCAGCAGTGTGTATTGGTGTGCTGTGTATCTGACATGCAAGCCGTACAAAGTATGGTGGCTTAAATACTGCCAGTTTGCCTAGACCTATACAGTGGAGGGCTGAAAACATGGACTTTCGGGTCAACAGCTTAATATTTTTTTATAAAGAGCTAAGCACGAAAATGGCTGTTGCGCAATGCTACCTGAATGTACGATCGTGTTTCGGAACTCCAATTTTCCTTGGTGTAGCTTTATGCAACTAGTGCACAAGGTAGACAACCGGACCGGGCAAACAAATTAGTCCCTGTGAAGTTAAATAACTTATATTTTCAATAAATTATCACCCACAAATGTTGTGCTGCTATTGATAGGGCGAAGAAATGCTACTTCAGATAAACCAGAAGGACGAGAACAGTATATTACGCAATTAGTACAAAACTCGGGTTCAGCACACATCCACTCAACTCATGGCGGAGCAGAATTATCTAGACGAGTCTGTCTGTCGCTATCTAAAGTATACACACTCACTAAGCTCACTAAACGGGGGAGTTCTTTGCTCCAAAACCCATGCAAACAAATTCCGACAGGCCGTTGTGAACGTGGCACGTTTTCATAATCTGAGTTCCTTGGGTAACCGTGTATTTATCCATGAGAGTAACAGGGTGCCAGTTTTACCAATGTATTGAATTCCATGAGCTGTGAAGCAAGGTTACACAGCGAACTAGAAAAGAAAGCACCTCATACTAGTAGCAGGTGCAGGCCGTCCCAGGGATTCTGGTTAGTTTTCCCGTCTCATACGCGTGGCTTCAGGTAAGATCCACCCGCAACATTCCTTACTACGCAACAAAATAGTGTAGCTAATCAACAGTCGGGATTAATGTATTAAAAAGCACATGGCAGACACCTCTCGACCAGATCTTAAACGCCTTAAATCAACTGCGAAGAACCAATTCAGATCACCACATAAATAGACATGCGAAGCATTTCCGGAACATGAGTGTGGTTTCTCTGTTACTGACAATAGGAAAATCATTCTTGAGTGGCGGTCATATCCATTTTCCTACCTTTCCAGAAAACAGCTAAAGCAGGCTGCCCTGCTCATCACGTAACCAGCCTTGGAACTAAAACATGGGCGTCTGTCCTATTATAACACAACGCTTTCCTAAGGAGAGAATAAATAAGGTTTTAGCGTTACGACCAAACTCGCAGAATCAGTCCAAATCTCAGTAGCCTACCGCCATTTCTGTCTGCCTTATCATGACACTCGATAAAATTAGCCAGAACTTGCCGCAAACAATACGTTTGGCCATATAAGCCCGTGAAAAAAAACATTTGGTTTGTCATCAGCGCAGCTGTTCGTCTATTCTCGATATACTCTGCGTACTATGGTCCCTAAGGGCGGAGGGCATCCAAAAGATAAGTGTTATTGACCATGGTCACTTCGTTCCATACTGAGGACATTGCTTCCTAATTGCTTCGTTACGGATTCACCGATGCCAGACTACACGAGCTAGGGTTCTGAAACAACGGTGGTCGAAGACCCGAAGAAGCCTAATTTCTGCTGCCGAACATGTCAAGCCTCGCATTCATACCAAAAAGCAGCCCATGCAAAATGATAAACGCCTCGCGTGAGATGCTAGGGTATGTCGCTTTGACGCCACAGGT